TTTCAAACGCCATCTATATATACTGTGTGTATACTTCTAATTGCTTCAACACTTATCTAATTAATACCAATGATTAACATATATACGTAATATGTTTGAATGATTTTTTAATTTTTTTTGTATATTGCTAGCTGAACTTGACTGCAATTCATTGCTAAAGGGAAACCATTGGTTGTGGAATTCTGTAGTGATAGTTAAATAATTTACTCGACAATTTTTTATGTAGTTTTAGGCTATAGTATAATGTCATCATTCGAATGTATATAACCTCCCCAGAATAGATGCTTGACAAAAGAATGTCAACTGTTACGGTCAAATTAATGAATCTAACATGTAATGTGTATTCAATAGCTTTTATTCAGATATTTTATATATATATATGCATGTTAAGGAATTCAATCAATAATTATCTATGGATCTAAATGTGAATCCAGTTATTATTGTATATTAACTTGAGGTCGGTGTAAAATTCATAAACTTCAAAACAGATGCCATTCCGATCCCTACATCCTGAGAAAGAACTTCCACTTGGATTAATTTCAAGTCTCGAGTTCTTGTTTAGAATTTTCTTATATGAAGTTGGAACAAAAACTTCAATGCAATTAATTCAAATTAACAAGTAGTCGTGATGACATAACAAATGTCTGGAGGATAAAACAAAAATCATTTATTTCCGAGTTTTCTTTGCCGATAGACCAATCAATAGTGTTCTATTAAAAATAAGACTGGTCGTTGGGGGACACTCTGTAATCTCTAAAACAGATTCCTCATATTATTTATTCAATGATGAGATATTATTTATTCTTTTTTTTTTGTATGTTGCTGGACTTGACTGCAATTCATTGCTAAAGGAAAACAATAGTGGTTGTGGAATTCTATAGTGATAGTCAAATAATTTACGATTTAAATCGGCGAATCTAATAAGCAATGTGTGGTTTATGTGAATCCTATAATTTTTATCGAGACCTTTTATATGTATTAGAGAATTCATTAAAGATCTATAAATATTTAGTTGTGAACTCAAATATTAATTTGAGATGGATGTAAGAATTCATAAATTTCAAATTTTGACCGGAGCTCGAATGTTACTCGATATGAAAAAAATTATGTAATCACAAATTAACTTGCATTAGTAAATTGCATGACATCACTGTACATGAGGCAGAATCATTCTTGTGAAAGCAATATTTCGATATACTTTCATCATCTAAAATAAAATAAAATTGTAGACATAGATGTCTCGTATTTTCTCAAAAAAGTGATTCTATTGATGGAATTTGGTATGAGAACGATGATCTCGATGAGATAGATAATGTGACATCTTGCAAGTTGATAACTAGGAAGAAGCTTAAAAATCGGAAATAGTCATTTTTGGAAAGTTTAAAAATCTGGAAAATTTGGTTATGGGAAAAAGTGAGTTTTGGTCAACTTTGAACAGTCATAACTCCTAGCTCATGATGAGTTAGGTGTAGTTCCAGTTATGTTTGGAAATCCCTTGGATTGATCTTTCCAACGCCACCGAGTTTGCTCGATTCTGAGTCCGTATGAGTGAGCTATACTCTTTGGAAGTTGGGCAGTTGGCAGGGAAGTCCGTCCGGAAATCTTAAGGGTATTTTGGTCTTTTCCCTAACCAATCCTTTTGGATATATTAAAGTGTTAAGACTGATTTTAGATCAGCTTTTCCCTTTTTTAAAAGAGCGAGAGTGAGGGTTTGTGAGTAAAGAGGAGAAGAAGGGGAGAAGGAGAAGATCAAGCAAGGTTTCGTCAAAGATCGTCGTGGATATCATCGGGGGTGATCCCTACTAGGTATGTGAGTTCATAGTGTTGGTTTGGTTCTTTCCACCACACGCCAAACTCGTTTAATTTCGAGAAAAGATTGATTATGTTTGTTGAAGTTGTTGGTTGTATTTGTTGAAGTTGTGGGTTGTGATTGTGTTGAAGTTCTTGTTGATTTGGGACTTGTTTCCGGTTGTGTTTGTGAGTTGAAATTTATTGTATGTTGAGGGGTTTATGATCTCCAAGTGTTTGGGGCTGGAAACTTTGAAGTTTAGAAGGTTTAGAGTTGGAGAAATTAG